TTTCTCTTCCTATGTGACACGTTTCAGCATTCCCTGACATGTAGGCAATTATCAGTGCATTTTTGATTCCATGGTGTTTACTGTCACAACCTAATGTGCCTCACCTACACCACTTCCGTGAGTTGCAATGACTGACGTTGGAGTCTGCTGGGATCTTCTTGATTTCAATTAATATATTAGTGTCTTGATTATGTTTATATTAGGTCTGAGAAATAAATCACCCTGCAGTGTTGCCTGTCAGCTTCTGATTCCTCACAAGGCTTTGTAGCAACTTTTCTGGCTGTTGTCAGCTAAGATATTGACCTTCTGAGAAAAGTAAACCACAGGGTCTATGCAGAATTGCAGCAGCAGCAGTCCTCGTAAGCAGATTTTTGTCTTTTGTATTTATTTGTTTGTTTATTTTTGCTCCCTGAAGAAGGAAGCTGCTTGGCCTTCATAGCCCTAGTGGTGAGCAAGATTTTCTTGCTGGCTGCAGCTTAGGCAAGAGTTAATGGAAGGGAAGAGGAGACTTGGCAATACTAAATGGAAGAGAAGAGATGTGAAGGACAGTGGAAACCTGGAAGAAGATTAATAGTGAAGGAAAGAGACAGGAGACCTGGAAGTGGAGAAGAGGAGAAAGCTGTCCAAAGGAGGTCTGAAGAAAGAAGACCTGGAAGTATGTCCATGGGAAAGGAGAGGCACTGATTAAAATAATGGTAATAGTGAATATGGGATACAAGAAAGGGAAGGGTAACCTACCCCCAAAAAAGTAGGATTTATGAATGGTAATGGAAAAATGAACCAGGTTTTCATTTTTAAATACATTTTTCTCCCTTCATTTCTCACATTGTGGAAGAACAAGACTTCAGTTCTCATTGCTTTCAGGTGTCATTATTTCCCTGTTTTTGTTCCATACGGAGTTATGACCCTTTTATTACTAATGCAGCTCAAGCTCAGAAAAGCCTCAATACAAACATTACCATGTTCAGTAGTATGGTGTTCCTTGTCTAACTTTCATTTATAAGCAGTTTTAGGAAGCCTTTATCATCTGCTGTCCAGCTGTGGCTTGAAATCAGAAACATTCCACTGTCATCATGCAGTCCCTCCTTTAACAAAGAGAAACTGAAGGGCCTGAGATGCTTATAAAAAAAACATTTTTTTTTAATAGTAAACATTACATGCAATGTTTTTGCCTGATTACGTATTGGATTTAATGTAAATAGCAATCTTGGAATGAATAAAAACATTTCCTAAAATATAGTGCATATTCCTCTGCTATAGTGAACAGCCGTGCATAAGGGAGTACTCAATAGTGAAATACTCTGCAGCTTTTCTAAAAAGAAAAGTAATAAAATAACTACTTTGTTACTGCAAACTCAAAGCCAGTCCTGTTATTTCTTCTGTACTTTATTATCAGTAGTCAGTATCATGAAGACCAGTAACATTACCAAACCATGGTGACATATGATAAGCAAAACATTTATTATGTCTGACTGGGCAAGACTGGATAGTACACAACTGATCAGTGTATATATAAGTATTTGTCCCTGTTCATGAACATCATCTATCATCCTCATCCTCATGATAATAATGCTTTAGTTAAGAACTCTAGAACCAGCTCCTCAGCTGATGTAAATGCATATATTTACAGTGGGCATACACGTACGAAGTATACAAGAATTGCATGCAGCGTGTACAAAGAAAAGGATAAACAAATAATCATAGAAGGGAGAAAAAAGCAGTTCTGATACACTGGTTCTTGTGACATTACGCAGACCTATAGTACCATATTTGCTCAAATATAAGATGACCCTGAATATAAGACAACCCCCAATAATTAGATTTTATATATGGAAAATGTATGCATTTATTACAATTTTCCAGGTATAGAATCTAATTATTGAAGATTTGCCTTAAATTTGTCCCTGTCCCACTTGTACAGCATGCAAAGTAAATCTGGGAGGTCAGGTAGCCCCCTTGCCCTCTGCCTCCCCCCAGTATCTTCCCCATGCAACCCTTTCTACCCCTCCTTACTGTCAGACCTTGCTCTCCCTAAGCACATGGAAGTGAGGAGCAAATTTGA